CTTGTATGTATGTATCTCTCCTCCATACAGTCTTCAGTTTTATTTATTTATTTGTAACACAATACTCTACAGGACATAGCCCAGTAACAGATCAGGAAATAACAGAGCATAATGAATACATCACAAACAAGTGACTGTAAAGTCTACAAATACAAAAAACAATACAAACAAGTGACTATAAAGACTACACATTTCATATTTATAATAGGTGACAAAACAATTATTTTAGGAAGTGGGATTTTATATCTGACAATTTCCAACTAAATATATCTAATTTNCAGGAAAGATCCTACCCAGATAGCAAAGTGAATCTCTTATTATTTACATAATAATGTTCATTTTTCCACGAATGAAACGAGTCACAAACCATCCAGAAGACTTGTTTTATCCACCCATTTAATTTCAAGCCACATCATTCAGGCGACAGAATTTATATAGAGTGTGTGCATATATTAAAATGCATTTCAGAAGTTATTACGACATAATTAATTTCGTGAAAAGGTGAAAAATAATGATTTTTTTATTGTACTTTCAGGTGGTGAATTCAATTTGATGAATCCGAATTTCCTTGCTACTTCTACAAAAGAACTGTCCGACCAGTTCATGGCTATCGAAAGAACTGCGGATGAAGAAAGAGAAAATGCATCGAATAAAAATATAAAATTCAGTCCATGATTCAAGTTGTATGATGTGCTTACGTAAGATAGTGAAATTTCAACAAAGAAAATTATAGTAAATGTGATATTAATGATAAAATTCAAGTTAGGAAAGTTAATTTCACACTAAATAGACATAATCGAAATATACGAACTTCAAATAAAATTTAGAGTTTAGACGTTTAATTTTATTTCTTTAACAACTAGGACTGTGAATATTGAATCGAATAATACAAAGGGTGTGTGAGATATCATCGATTTTTTTAATTCATTTGAAAGTCCTATTGATGCCATTATGTGTGGAATATAACATCGCTTAAATGTCCGCCAAGTCTTCTTTGGGTGGAACGCAACCGAAATGTCCAATTTTCCATACCTCTGGCGCATAAATCAGGCTGAATTTGACCAATGGCATGAGTTATTCGCACACACCTGCAACAATAGAACTGCACAAGAAAGATACTAACGGGATCAAATCGCACGATCTCGATGGCCAGTTTACATCACCTCCACGTGAGATGACCGTGCCCTCAAATCACTTGTGCAGAATATCCAATATGGCATGAGCTGTGTGACACGTAGCACCGTCCTGTTGAAACCACATGTCAATCATCGGTAATCAACGACTTATAGTGCTCGCTGTTGATAGTGATGGCCTAACCCAGGGGTCTCCAAACTACGGCCCGCGGACCAAATCCGGCCCGCCAGTGTCATCAATCCAGCCCGCGACAGCCAATGATTTACTGTCATCAATCTGGCCCGCGACAGCCAATGATTACCTAATTGTTGTTACTATTGCTGTGATAAGTTGAGGAAGAAAACACAGAATGATAATTACTCGGTTTTATTTACTTGCAAGGTAAAACTTAACAACAGAAATGATGATCTAAGTTTGAAATGAATCACAGTAAAACAAAAAAACATATGAGATTTATGTAATTGTGATTTTCCACCGACAATACTTTGTAGTAGTGGATCAATTTTACTTGTACCAATTATCAAAAGAGATATAAGATGCTCATCGGTTAATTGAGATCTGTAAACATTCTTTGTGTACTTCATCTTGGAAAACGTTTTCTCACATGAGTAAGTAGTACCAAAAACAGAAAACAACCCACGAGCAAATTTATGTACATTATGAAATTGTTCTAGTGGAAGACTCTTATAAAATTCCAACAAAGATGAATTTTGCTATTTGTTCTTAAGCATATCACCGCACCGTAAATCAATAATTTCCGTTTGGACTTCCGGAGCCAGGGTTTTAATGTCAGAATCAAAAGGATTTTGAAAAAGCTTAATTTCATTCGCAGTGACATCAAAATCTGAAAAACGAGTATCAAAAATTATCTTCAAAGCACTCAAAGTTTCGATTGTAAAATTGACGGGAAATTCAGTCTCTGTAGTGTGGCTGAATATTTCACATGTTTCAAAATGTGTGAAACATTTTTTACGTAATTGCGATTGAAATAGTATTATTTTCTGCCTGAAGGATTNACAATACACAATAATAATTGAAATGCAAAAAAAGCGTATGTTTGCTTAGGTCACGCACTTTGTGACTATCCTAGTCCAGAAATATAGTTAAGGGCAAAAATTGGCCCATGGAACAAACTGATAAAATCATTATGGCCCGAAGGCTTCAAAGTTTGGAGACCCCTGGTCTAACCCAATGTCGTTATCAAAGGAATATGTTTTTTTCACGTACCCATTAATACAGAAATCGGCCTTATCGCTAAGGAGTCCATTCAGCGAACACTCGTCATTGTGTATAGTCGTTCACCGTCAGTTACTGGGTATGTTGAATTTTGTACGGGCGCAGGTCCTAGTCACGACATAAAATTCGCCAAGTTGTGATATGTAAAATGCCCATTTCTTGTGAGCAACGCGAAATTGACTGCTTCGGATTTTACTGCACACTCTCACAGACAGCAGCGATGCTTTCGGCAGATCTTGCGTTTTGTCGACGTACTGGTTGTTGAATGCTGTATCGGTCCATGGTGATTTGGCAAAACATACTGAATTATTTCAACAGATATATCATCAACAATATTGCCGATATCAATTGTCAAAGTTCGGAAGATCCTGTTGGAAGACCCGTTACTATCAACCCATTAATAGCCGGTTTATGCACGATGTACAATTCAAATACCTCGAAAAGGGTTCTTAAAATAAACATGAAAAGGTAGGGTTGCCTTACCATACAACATAAGTGAACGGTAACAAAAGCATTTGTTCGTATAATTGAAATTCAAATTGCAATGTACTGATTCCATTTTGAAGATTTATTTTCAATGCAGGTGTTGTTTTGTGATACGCTTGGATAGTAGGAAAATCGAAGTGGGCGTTCCACAGGGATCGATCTTGGGTCCAATTCTATTCACTTTGTATGTGAATCATCTTGATGAGATAAATGGTACTGCTGATTATACTGCGTATGCAGACGAATTTTCATTGTTTCTTTCCTCTACGGATATTGAATACCTACGAACGAAATGTATTGGAACAATTCATAGAGTTTCATCTTTTTTCAATAGTAGGAACCTATTTTTCAACATTCAAAATACTCAGATGATAAGATTTCACTGTCGCCAAAAAAATGTGTGAAATTACTAAGCAGAATACACATGCAGAGGTTAGATTTATGGGAGTAACTCTAGATGAACATCTCTCTTGGAAATTCCATTGCCAACAAGTAGATCACCTGCATACCGCGGTTTCGAGGTATCTCTTCAATACAGGAAAGATCCTACCCAGACAGCATAAATTTCAAAATAGTAATCTCTCCCAACTACCTAAACAGTAGGATTTGGTGAACGTCTGTCGAAAAACAACTACTTTCTCGGCTAATACCACGCTGGATATTGAATTACCGTTTTTCAGCAGGCATTTACCAGAACCTACCATGTAGGTAGTTGGGAGAGATGAATGTTCAGACATTCTTTTTCTGAATATTATTTTTTTTCTTGTATGTATGTACCTCTCCTCGATACACTCTTCAGTTTTGAATTCTGTTAGAGTATTGGTACATGGGTTTTGTTCACGATATGGAGTTGTTAGTAGTTTATGATGCACTGTTTGGAACCTTTGATGCAGTAATGAATATTACCGGAGTTTTTTCCCAACACCAAAATGTTGGGAGAAAACTCCAGTAATATTTGTTACTAGTTAACAATCTTTCTCTCAAACGAACGATTCTTATTGCAGGCGAAGCCAAGTTGAAATTAATTGAGTCCCAGGCACTTTGCTGTCTGAGTACGATCTTTCCTGCACTGACAAGAGTTAACACCTCGAAATCGCGGTCTGTAGGTGATCCAGTTGAATAATTTCAGCATGGTCCTGCTGCTGGATGAACTAGAGTCTAATTTCTGTTAGGTATCCTGCATAAATGCCTGTCAGATATAATTCAATATTCAGCGTGGTATTAGCCGGGAAAGTAGTTGTTTTTCGGCAATAATTCACCAGAACCTACCATGTAGGTAGTTGAGAGAAATGAATGTTTAGATATTCTATTTCTAAATATTCATTTTTTCTTGTATGTATGTATCTCTCCTCGATACAGTCTTCAGTTTCATTTATTTATTTGTAATTATGTTGGGCAGTCAACTATGCTTTTGATAATTTTATAGGTTAGTACAACACTATAATATTCACACCTTTTTTCGAGACTGAATAAGTTATGCTTTTGTAGCAATTCAGAGTGGGTTTTTCCTATTGCAGGATAAATGCCATCAGTTTCTAGGCTTAGCAGTTTTGAAAATCGTCGTTGAATTGCTTCTATTCTATCTATACGATATTGATAAAAGGGGCCCACACAACTGACATATTCTAATTTTGATCTTATGAAAGTATAGAATAGAGTTTTTTTTAAGGTCGAAGTTTCTTTGAAATCACTACGTTACGTGCAATTAATCCATACAAACGACAGGAGGAGGTTACAACATTATCGATATGCCTATTAAATGATAGTGCAGTGTCAATTGTGACACCAGTTTTGATCACTGTAGTGGTACATTCAACGAGTCGACTATACTAGTAAATGAGAATTGTGTACACTCAGAGAAATAATAAAAATCCAACAAATTTTTGGTGGAATTGTTCATCTATAGATATCATTTAGTGTTTCTAAAAAAAATTAAAAAATGATTATTTCTCTGCACGAGTTGTAGTTTGATGAGAAATTGAAGAACTTATCTATCCTACGTGCAGTCAAAGTTATACTTCCTCTACCTTTGCTCATGAAGTGCAACTTAGTCTGCTACTCCTTTAACTTGATAAAAATCCCAATTCAACATGTGCTGCAGAAAAATCAATAAAAACTGATATTAACAGAACAAGAGCACTCACCTGCCTCTGCTGCGGATGACTCATTGGAGGGTGTCCAGGATATGGCTGACCCTGTTGTAAGTTTCCTCCATGAGGAGCTCCCAAAGGATTAATCTCATGTCCCTGCGGACCAAGATGGCTTTGGGGGGGTCCGCTAGAGTGCCCACCGGAATGACTTTGGGACAACGATGGCGGTGGTCCGTGGTGTTGTGGTCCTGGTGGCGAACCGTGGTGTTGCGGACCATGCGGAGATGGCCCACCAGAACCTATTTGTATAGGTTGGCCTTGAGGAAGGGGAGCGCTCATATGACTCGGAGGGTGATTTCCATGTGGAGGGTGTGGAGGCCCGTGTTGAGGCATATGAGGGGGCAACGTGTGACTGGTATTCGACATTGATGTTGGAGGCATTGGTGGATGACCGGGTGACGACATTGGTGGCATAGGATGTGGTGGACCGCTTATATGGCCCATGGTGGGTTGGTACGGGCTATGAGGGGAATGAGGCGGTGCCGGACTATGCGAGGGAGGACCCATTGGGCTTGGAGCTTGTGGTGGAGGCATCGGGCTGGTTTGTGGTGAGTGACTCGACATGGCTTCCTACCTGAAAATGAAACACATGTAGTCATTCAAAATCAAATTTAAAAAAATGTTATATAATAGGTATTTCTTAAAAACATGCCAATATTCCAGGAGGTTAGTTTTGGTGTTTGAGTAACACTCTAATATGAGATTTCCATGAAAGTTTACATATATCCAACACGTGTTTCACTATATAATAGATTCTTCAGGCGTGTTCATACTAACTAAATACCACCTACTTAGAGCTTGATATACAGTAATGAATCGAATTATATGACTTTTTCTACTTACTTAACAGCTTAACGACATGTAATAAAATGAAATTACTTGAGTTTATGAATATCAACGTGAATACCAATTTTAACTTCGAGTTGTAAACCTTCTCTTCCGAATGTAATAAATAGTACCTCATAGTCGTGATTGATCCCAGGTTCATCTGCTTCTGGTTCATAAATGTGGAATGTAAAACTAGTATTCTCTTTTCTTCTTTGGAAAAGGGTTTTTCTCATTTGGCTAATATAAGAACACAAGTCAACTTATATACTCTATTTCTATATGACACTGAAGTTTTGTCATTGGTATCATTTGTGGGTTGGTTTTGAGAAAAAAGACATGACCTGGAGGTTGTTACGTTTGACCTACAGGATGCTAAAGTTTGAGGAAGAAAAAAGATTTTTTATAATAACTTTGATTTGATCCCGAATATTTTCGTGAAACGTAATACGCATTCTATAAGCATCAAAATGCATTTTCTGCATAAATTTTGATTCTTGCCAGTGGCCTCTGTGCAGGATTACTCAATAATCTCAAAAAAAAGTGATACATCATTCTTTGGAGGCTAAAGTAAATATTATTTTTATTTTGAAGATCATCATTTCTTTTTGGGCAATTATGGTTTCTCGTTTTTTTCTTCACTTGACGTATATTTTTCGCATGAAAAAAAATCATCATTTCCACGTTGTTACGAAACATGTGAATTATGGGCCATTTTGGCTACTTACTCAAGAAGAAACAATCACTGATGAGTATTATTTTTAGGTATTTTTAAAAATTCAAAAGTGTCATCAAATTAATGTTTCAAGTTACTGTTTATTGATACACACTTTATTTGAGTATTGTGGTTAATTTCAGATCCAACACTGATATTTTTTTAGCGGGCAATTGCCTGTTCCTTAAAGCCGGCGTTGGACTGTAATAATCCCTTATGATTTTCCATTACAGATGAACTTACGCCAGTGATTTCTTCAAAAAGATAATGAAAATCTTTTATTTCATAATGTAATTTTATTTTCCGATAAAGCCAATTTTCCAAACGATGTCCAGAACTTTCACAACAATCCTGTTTGGGGTGAAGAAAACCCGCATGCAGTTGGAATTCTGTTATCACGGGCACTTTTTCTTCAACGTGTTCGCTGTAAAATGTTGTGATTATTCATTTGGAACCCATTTTCTTCACGAGAGATTGAATGAACATATTTGTCGGCAGTTGTTCCTTTTTCAGTAAGAAATTGACTGTGATTTGTGAGTCACGGGGTGCCAGTACCCTCAATACAGTATGGTGAAAATGAAAGGAATAAATCCATTACTTCGTAAATCGGTGACTGGAGCAGCAATGAGACAATGATATTGTTGTAAATCATGCCCGAAGGGAAATAACACCGGCCGCCACTGGTAACCATAAACCGAACGTGACGTAGCTGAGAGCGTGGGGACGCCCAATATTACGTGCCGCTCGAGAAGCAGCAAAAGAACTTCGGCGAAAATTCCACGATGTTCGATGGCAATATTTAAACGCTGGCAGCGGGTATATCTGGACAGTCAAGTACACAGTGAAGTCGACGTTTCAGTGCAGTACGCGAAGTGATCTAGTATAGTTGAAATTTTTAGTTCAAGTGTGTGTTGTATTTCAAGTGAAATAAAGTTAAGTTTGATTATTCAGTGCAGTCAATTATTGGAGAACCCACGGGGAAAACGTAACAATATATTGTCGAGCAACAAAGTCATTTTGAACCTGATGAAAAACTTCTAAGACTTTCGAACTTATTTGCACCCTCTCGAACTGTATGCGGTCTTCAAGTTCCTTGATATCATTTTTCTATTTTTGTACACCCTACTTTTCGAATGTTTCCATAAAAGTATATTAAGCAAAGTGAGATCTGAACCTTGGGTGGCCACCTGATTGATCCTCTTGGTCCTACAATTTTATTATGAATTATTCACGCCCATACATTAAATTTTTCTAGGTATTGAGTATGGCACTCCTGTAACCAATATGGACTGTAGTCCGGTCATATACACTATTGAATTAACGAAAATTGCGACAGAGCTAAATTTTGGGGAAGACCTTTATTTTACCATAAAAAATAAAAATTTCAAAGTCTCAATCTGTCCCATGAGCGCTTCAAAAGTTATATGGGGTCAAAGGTCAAAATTTCAGGTTTTTTGAGTTTTTATCGAAAACCGTAAGTTTTATAAAAAAAATACTTCGGACCAAAGTTATAGATCTCGAAATTCTCTACAAAAATGGTCCTTATGATTTTTTCTGTAAGTATCACCGTTCCTGAGATATCGCAATTGTAAAAGTCACGTTCTATGTAATATGCACACGTTTCCACAACACCTGTGAGGTAGTGTACTCGGCACGTTTTTTTTAACGTGGTTTCCCTAGTAGGCCTATTCCACGAATCGTTATTACGTAATTTTTAGTCACAATACTTATTTATTGTCAAACACACAAGATTGAATATCTTCTCGAACGATCGCTGCCGCAGCTTTCAAAATTTTCCTGTATACTTTGCTTACGGTGGATTGCAAAATTGGTTCTCGGTCGGAATATTTATCGATGACAAAGTTGGCATCTTCAGGAGATGGAGATGCCAACTTGGTTGGTGAAACGCGCTTCGAGAAAAGTATTGCATTTCTAGTGATTGGAGAAAGTACTTGTTTTGGATTTTTTTCACCAGAGGTTTCAGTTTTACTTTGTATTGTCGAAAAAATCCTATCTTTGCATCCAACCTTGTTTTGATACAGAGCAACCGTCCGGTTTAACTCGCGTTCATATGACCTAAGGTTAAGTTCAACATAGTGAGAATTCGACTTAGCGAAAGTTCACCGTAATGAAGTCCGGCGCATGAAGATTTTGAAGGAGCCAGACGTCTCACTAGATGATAGAATTCATCCTACTGTAAGAAACCACTATCGACATGGATGAAAAAAAACCCGGTACCTGAAAAAACGCGGGGCCCTAGAAATTGGATAGGAATTAGTCAGTTATAGTCAGTCAATTTGAAGGTGGTTGACAATGTTTCGTGGTGTATTTCATCAGTTCGAAGTTCCATTGTCTAATATAATATAAATTGATTTGAAATCCCTGAAAAAAATAAAAAGTTTAACTGAAAATAACAATATTAAAACAAAAACCGAAATTACACGAAAATAACATACAAGCTACAACCAGTAAAATAAAAAATTGAAATATTAATTAAAGCTGAAAATTAAAAAATATTATTGACAAAAAAAAAAAAATAAAAATTAAAAGATTCCAAACCAAGTTACGTCACGAAGTTTTGAATCTTTGGAATCGTTTAATTTTTATTTTTATTTTTTATCAATATTTTTTAATTTTCAGCTTTTATTAATATTTCAATTTTTTATTTTTCTGGTCGTAGCTTGTATGTTATTTCCGTGTAATTTCAGTTTTTTGTTTTGATAAAATTGTTATTTTCGGTTGATCTTTTTATTTATTTCAGGGATTTCAAATCAATTTATATTATATCAGACAATGGAAGTCCGAACTGATGAAATATAGTCAGTCAACTCGAGCGAGCCAGGCGAGAGCATTGTTATTCATTTAATTGTTTATATCCAGATCGGAAAAGGGGTGACGGTTTATTTGTTAAGTTCAATTGGGAAATTGATGCATCTTTAGGTAAAATAAATGTATACGATTATTATATCTGCTTTTCTTATACCTACTACGTCGAATTGTTACGTCAAAATCTTGATATTTCCAATAATTGAGAGATTAGCGAACTTTCATTTTTTTGTGACGAAGTCATTGAAGGGGATATATTTCGCCGTAAATTCGACGTAACGGGAATTGAGCGTGGAGAAATATCACTGTCATTGTGAAGAATCACGAACTCCACGATTCTCCCGAAAATGAAACGTGTCTTGAATAGATAATATCGGATGAGAATTTTACTTCGAGTAAATATACTTTTTCTCAGTTCAATGAAAACGATTTTCAAACAACAAAAGGAACTCAAAAATGGATAATACAATACAATACTGACACTAGAGACAACTACACAGAATAACTAATAGAAAAAATAAATGTGCTCCAATAAAATTCTTGTTTGATATGGCCCATAGAATGTGGAACTTTCCGAATAGAAAAAAACATATTTTAGCACCAAATAATCATTTTTATTATGAGAAGTAGTATACACAAAAGTTGATGGGAGCAGTTGAAAGTAATTATATTGTTCCATAAAAATGTAGAAATAAATAGGTTTCAGATACGTCTATGGTACACCCACCCCTTTAGATAATTTAAGTGGAAGCCCGCTAAATTTGCAAGACACTTAAATTTCAACATATAACATATAAAGGTATCACCAGATTATTAACTGCTTTAATGAGTAATATTTATAATACTTGTATATGATTTAACAATCTGGCTTTCAATATTTTCAAATTTCATCAAGTTTTAATATTAAAACAGTAACAAAAATATTTTTGTGACAACTTGTATTTCCATAAGTCCATATATATATATTCATGAAAGGAGATGGCTAAATGGGAACAAAGCCAACATTAGGCCGAAGAAAAGAAAGGGAAAATGAAAATGTATATCTTATAAATTATTTCTTATTTACTGCGCCTCGGACTTAGACAACCAATATTTCTATGAAATGACGTACATACGTCAAATGACGATTCCTTTTGATATACGACCGCTCTCTTTCTCATTGGTAAAAAATTCAACCGCCGTTTCTGAAGTATTTGAAGACTTTGAAGGTTAGTCAGATAGATCATTTAGATCAGTGAAGACGGTAAGCAATAAATGATTACAGAAAATATTTGCCAACACTTGTGAATTAGTAAGCGAAGATTTTGTAAGGTAAGTCCATTGGAGGTAAACATCATTCTTTGTTTTTCATTCAGAATAAATAATTACATTCGCCTTGACGTACCTATGACCTTTCATTATCTATTTAGATTTAACACAGTACTTACACAGGTTATTTTGATCAGTTGAACAAAGTAAAATGGCTCTAATAAATGTTAATGTATCGTCATTCTTCAATGAAACATTTACTTGATATTTTTCCACTAAATGTAGAAAACACAACACTCGCCATTTTTCGATTCCACTATTTATTTTTATTTTTTGTTCTCTTTTCAGCTGCTTCTCATAGAGAGAGACAACGCACACCCTTCGCGCTTGATCGTGATTTTGCGGTAAATTTGAATCAGGCAGAATGGAGCAGATTTTATCCAATATAAAAGAGTGCCTTTTGTTATTCAATTATCCTCTTTCCAATAGCATGACCGAAGAAGAGTTGGGAGATATATTCCACATTTCCAATAGATGTTTCTTGATTTCTTGGATGTTGAAACTCCTAGATGATTCCTACAAAGATATTGTGAATCTTGAAGAGAATAAGCAAAATGAAGAAGTTCTCGGAAGTCTTATTTGTGAACTAGGCTTTTGCAGTAAAAGAGATCAATCATCATTTATGAATGGAGATTTGGATGTTTCTAAACAAGTGAGTGAAGGAGATTTCATGAACCAGTTTTAAGTTGTTGCTAGCAAATATAAATTACATGAAACTGAAAATATTCAGTAATTAACGAAAATGAATCATTCATAGTTTCGTAAAAACTATAAGAAACATAATACATAATATTAACATAACACTTGTGAGAACATACCTGTGAGACCATGAATCAAGACAATGATAAAAATATTTGCACTGCAACTTTCTCATATGCTTTCACAACCCGAGTTACCATTAGAGATTTTTTTCAAGAAAACTTTTTTTTATATAAACCTATAAGGACTTTTTGAACAAAATTTTCAGAAGTGAGTAGCAGGATTGTTGATCTCTCATTTACAGTATGTTTTGTAAAATTTTCAGTTTTTGGAAAACCTGGAAGTTGTGTTTCATTTTTTACATGTCTATTCTTCGACAAGTTGTAATAGTTTAAAAGTTTGTATCTCAAGTCAAAATAATCAACAAAGGTATCCATTTTTGTGAAAAATGCCATATTTTGTGTCGATCAAAAATGGGTTTTATTTGATTGAAAATTCCAAGTAAGTCAGATAATGTGCTCTGAGAAGGTAACTGCAACAAATATCCTGGAAGTGACTTATTTCGACTTTGCGAGAAGAATATTCCGAATAGTTTAAGAAATTTCAGTTGACGTTAACATGTATGTTTCTTGAGAATGAGCCATCACTATTATTATTCCTAATATAAAAATAAAATTGTAACCAATAATTTAGGCTTACATTGATCAATGATCGCAAGTAATCAACTCCGTAATTCTTTTGTATTATGAAAGGAAAAAAATAGTTTCATTGATTTCGAAAGTATATTAATCCTTACAAAAATATGCTGCATTACAGGAATACAGAGAGATTTATCTTATTTATAGCTCATTCAACGGAAATGCCCCAGAAACAGCAAGGGTATATCACAAGCAGAATCCAAATAAAGAAAATTGTTCCAACCATTGATTTTTCATTCGCATCTGCAATGCATACCTTGAAGGCCATATCACCGGGAAAGAGAATCGTGAGTTTATGATGGCAATCAAGCACTTTTGCAAATTGACGATGATACCTCACGTGATAGGGGATCTCTCAAAGTTACACGAATTTTATACAGATAATATCATTCCACCTTTAGCATATCCAGCATGTGCAAGCTCTTCCATCACAAGATTATCATCAAAGAGTAATTTTTTGTAGAGAAATATTTGGAAGAATCACAATTGGTTGAAATTTTTCAATTCGATTTTATGGACAGATTAATCATACTTAGGGTGCTCAAGGATATTTCACAATTTACACTATTAGGCAGTAGAAATCCTCCAGAAATTTGAAAATTATTAATAAGAAAATAATACTGATGAAAATAAATTTAAAAAAAAGGTAGGTGAAACACTTTATAAGAATAATGATAAAGGACAGAAATTGGTTATTTAATTCAATTTTGTTTTCATTGGATTCAATTTCTTTATTATTTCTGACATTTGTATGGAGGTTTTGAAGATTTTGACCACTTCATGTGAAAATTTTATGTCAACTTTTTTGGGAGTAAAAATCATTGGGAACTAACCTCAATCTCTTAGGTATCTTGAAGGTTATTCAAAATTCTAGTATACCAAATTAATTATATGTATTTCATTTGTGTTCACCATCTGTGACATTGATATTATTGAAGAAATGTTAATTTTCAATTCAAATTTTCAGCTGGACATACTCTATAAGATGTTCAAATATATCAAATTGGTGAAAGAACCCAGTCCTGAGAACCACATACCTTCAGTTTCGAATGGAGACATAACTCTTCTGACAAATAAAAATTTAAATTTATTTCCTATGTATGGTGACATCAAAACATCTAACTCTTCAGAAGACTATTCGGATAAGATGAGATTATCAGACAATGCATCAGGAAGTGAAAATGATTTAACTGTAGTCAGTGAAGTCCTGGATGATATTGAGACACTTGTTAAAGAGCTTCGCCAATATTTACCAAAGCTAGAACTGGCTGCCCAGAATCTCCCTAAGGAAGATATATCTTCTGAAGAAAAAATTGTATTTCGTCCTAGTTATAGAGAAATATTATGTCGTTGTAATGAATCTATTAAACAAGTTAACCAGGTAAGTTTTGTATGTTTAAATGTAAATCAAACTTTATTTCAGTGCAATGAAAGTGATACAAGAAGTATTTAGTATTAACAAACTAGTTTATTTGTCTGATCACACAAAAATGTTATGTTTATTGCAAAAAGTTCTTGGAAAATGTATGACCAATGCTTCTGGCTAGTCAATTTTTTTTCACAAAGGGTTTGTTATGTTAGGATTGAATTGTTGGCAATGGTTGTAGTAAAAGTGAACTGTAATAAAAGTCTATAAAAAAGCCTCAATCGAATTGAGGCTTTGAAAGAGAATATTGAATCAAAACTTCCCGAAACAATGTGGAAAAATTTGATGCACTTTTGGGTCAGGAAATGGCTGGAAAATCACGACGGGATATGGAGATTTAAAGATATTTATAAAGCAATCGTTTATATTACTCATCTGTTGAATTTTCACAACGTACAAACTTATTTAAATTTTTTTTATGTGCTCTATGATCAGTTTTTGCTGTTCTAGCCTTTGTTGAGGAAATAAAAATTATTGATTTGTATTTTGTGAAAGATAAGTCCAAGTATAGCATTTAAACATCACAGAAACAATGTAAACTTCAAGGACCTAAGATATATTTTCTATTGCAGTTACCTTTTCATATTTCTCGATGATTTTAACAATCATAAGCATTTGAGATTCAAATATCATGTCAACTTTGACAGGTATCAGCCAGTTGGACCTTCAGTGTGTTATTTGGTGAATAGTGAATACAATGAAACAAGATATGTAGGTACTAAAAATTTCTGGACTATGACATACTTGAATCGGATATCAATATGTAAAGAATCAAATGGGAAAAATTAAGAAAAAAGTAATAGACTGTGCAATACATGCTCTCAGTGAACGCAATGTTGATATAATTCACAACTTGCATTTCCTGGAAAAAATATTTGCAGGTTTGCACATTGATGTTCCTGTGAAAGAAATTTTTGATATGGTATATTTTCATTAGTGTGGTTCATAAAGGCGTTTATGTTGAGAATTTATTTGATATATTATATGTTTACTTTTTTGTTGATTGTTTTTAAAAATTATATTGAATAAATGATTCATATAACCACTGGCGCACATTCAAAATATCCTCACAAAAAATTATTTTTGCTAGAGTTGAATTTCATGGTCGTGACTTAGTTTTCACAAGAGTGAAGGAGATACCTTGCATCAACAAAAGTTTTCTAACTTTTCATTTTCAAATATTTTGTACTTATATATAACCTCCCAAGAAACAAATTCCTGGCTATGGCCTTGGTTACAGTTTTTATGAGATGCATTATTACGTTTACTTTTTGTTCTAATTTTTGCTGGTTTAATGATAAAAGTGTTATAATTGCCACCAGCTGTTCAAAATTTGTACGCACCATAAACATTCTATGCAGCTTTCGAATTAGTCTTATATGAAGTAATATGTATACAAGTTTGGTTTTACTGACTATTCATAGACAAAAAACTAGAACATTGATTTTTTTCATTTGTATATTTTCATTAGTGTGGCTCATAAAGGCGTTCATGTTGAGGATTGAGTATATTTTTCATATATTTACTATTTTGTTGACATTTTATTCAATAAATATTAGGTGTAACCTCACTCACATTCAAAATAACTTAAACTATCCACTGTATTAATCAGAAAAAAATACTATTTTCTGGAGATAACTTTCATGACCATGTCTTAGTTTTTCTCAGACTGGAGGAGTTGGAGTTTTTATAAGATGAATTATTATGGTTACTCTTTTTTCAAATTTCTGTCAGTTGAATGATAATAGATAGAGATAGAGAGATTTTATTTGACTACGTTATGTAGAAAAAAACATTTGCAGCATATCATGTCATTCATTATACAATGTAAAACTAGGAAGACTGTGTCAGTATATAGTATAAATTCCTTCATAATATGAATTATATTAATAAATTATACATATAGGTATGCCCACGCACTCGCACACACATACAGACTAAAATATATATAAATAAAATACAAATTACCTAAACGCATATACACTCGTGCAGTATTGCCGAAGGCAATTTTAAAAATAGATAAAAATTCGTCAAGTATATAATTTCAATAAGTGGGTCCTGCATATCAACGTACAGTGTTCTATATGTCCAATATTCGCAACACTTGTTCAAAATTTGTACCCATCACAAATATTGTATACAGCATTCGAATCTGTATGTTTATTTTTCAGTTTCAAAAATAGAACTATGAAACAAAAGCCATTTTAGAGACTTTGCACTCGAACTTTGAATGCAAACTCTTCAACCAACATCTGCATTGCCTATTCCATTGATCGATTTTTAATCAATTTTTTATTGTATTTCTTTTAACTTCTCACAATGATATGTTCAAAAAAATTATTAAAATATGTTTTTGTTCACTTAACCAATTGGATGAGATCAAAGTTATTACTACAAACATGTGGAAACCAGAAATTACAAAAATCTTTTCACGTCAGTCTACTTCATCGTTACAATGCAGACTTGATTTTAATTGAATCGAATATATGAGAAACAGGTCCAAATCATATCATAACTGTTCCACATTATAACAGATATTTGCTAGCTTCTATTCGTATTGTATGCTGGAAATAACCCAAAGAGCAACTCTGCATCCTATTCTTTTCATAATGAATAAATATATAGTTTTATATTAGAGTTCATTTTGGGATTTCTGAATGTGATTCAAAGCTGGTGTTCAACAGAAAAAAGTCTCAATGTAAATAACAGAAAACCACTCTATTGATATTTAACAAAACTCGAAAGTATGCTTACAGCCTACTCAAAATTTCGTGTGGTAGTAAACTAAAAATTGAATTGGACCTGTCATATGAATAATATTTTGCAAGCTTCAGTGCCAAGCTAAATACACCTTTATTTGGAAGATTTAGACTGAAAGTAATGTATACCTTGTATTTTATTGATGTGACTTAAAATTCATCAGGTGAGCACAGAAATAGATTCTGTGAGTTTCTTCTGTTATGAAAGGAATGGGTTATGAAATAGATAACGAGTGATCAAGATTTTGCAGCCAGATATGCATAACTTACTAGCCATAGCAGATATGTTTAAATGTATTAGAATGACATACGATCATGTGATTCTTCATTAACTTATTCAGTCATGCATCTTTGATGTGAAGGTTTTCAAATGACATTCTTTCTGTTGTCATAATCATTTTATCATAAGTGAATTATATAAAAAAGACCGAATATGGCAGCCGGTGAATGTGAGGACGAGTTTATGTCAACAAATAGTGAGACTAATTAACTGTATGGAAACGAGTTTTGGAAACAGCACAGTTTTCCTTTATAATTAAGATTGTTATATGATTAAAACTGATGAAACCGAAAATAATATTAATCTCCCTAAGGAAGATATATCTTCTGAAGAAAAAATTGTATTTCGTCCTAGTTATAGAGAAATATTATGTCGTTGTAATGAATCTATTAAACAGGTTAACCAGTTTGTTCAAAACTTAAACACCATAGAGAAGTTCAGTAAATCTGATCTCAATTTTGATAAACTGAGGACCAGTACTGATGAATCTAGAGAAATGCTGAATAATCTGTGGGAGGAAATACTTGTTACTTTGAGGTATCAACAAATGAAATGAAGAAATCGAATAATTTTCCAACACTATAATATGGAAAATACAAAAAGACTTGTAATATATTTTTGGCTAAAAGAGATGAAAAAAGCTTGATGCTTGATTCATACAAAATTCATATATCTTCCAAATGATGATAAATTACGGTTAGCTGCACACAAACGTATTTTTTTAAATTCCCCACTGTTAGAAAAATACTCAGGTGAATTTTTGGAGTCTTTTCGTCAATATTTTACTCTGAACAACTTTTCACGATCAATTTGGTGAGTTCGTAATCAGAGTCAAACAATTTCTCGAGTAGATCAAAATGATCGACGTCTTTAATAGTCACCAAATGGGACTTCAAGTTCAAACTCAAAAGGTATTCATTCATTTTGTTTCCTTGTTCAACAAATTGAGGACTGTCATGTTCAGCGACGACTACATAAAAATCTGTGCCTTCAGCTATAAGTTTTTGCCATAGAGGACTAGCTCTCTTAGCTGATTGTTCGTCCAATTTCAACGGGGCATTGTAACTGGTCTTCAGGAGAGGCATCAGATCGTATATGCCCGCCAACAAATAAGCTGTTTTGAATAATTTTCTTTCTTCTTCGGGGAGGTTCGGTATGAACTCTTTGAAGAGATTGGCTACAATTTGAGCTCCTGCCGAGTGACCAGACAAGTGAATTCCCCTGAAATATAAAAATTATACAGATATAACGATGAGGCTTTATGGATATAGAAATATTGGTTGCTTAATTTATTGAATATATTACACGCCCCCCTCCCTTTCTCAGTGTACAGTCTAGATGACGGTCATGATCAAATACAGGGTGTTAATTGAGTATGTACCATAAATTTGAACAGACGATTCTTTAGGTAATTTTAAGACGAAATGTTCATATAAACATGGGTCCGCAAATCCTTCGTTCTCAAGATACATGGTGTTAAAATAAAAAAAAATATTCGTAAATATCTTAAATATACTTTACCTAATTTTCTTGTGATTTGGCAATGGTATTTATAACATTAAGGAGCTAATTTAGCCCGAACGTGATTCAATTCATTAAGTCCGGTGGCGTCTCCAGCGGGATTTGAACGAATATTTTTGACTTAACATAATAAAAAATACGTCAGGTATTTTCAGAAGAGTGCGAAATTCAATGATGCGGCGGCTAGACGGTTGTATTGAAGCCGAAGGAGACCATTTCCAACCCTTAATTTAGTGCAATTCGTTAGTCTAGATGTTAATGTTTTCAACATTTGTTGTTATTGTTACATAATTAGTAATGAAAAATTGTAAAAATAATAATTTCCAAAAGAAACATTTTATTCCTCATATTATTCCTTGTGAGATCCAGAGATATGCAATTAGGTCGACTTTTTTTTCTTAAAAACTAAGCAAGATACGAAAAAAAATCAAGAGACAAAAAAGTTGTATTTCTAATTGCTCAGTCCAAAGAAATAATATAAATTGCACAAAATCAGTGGATTACATTTTTTAAGTCAAAAATATTCGTTCAAATCGCGCTCGAGACGCCACTGGACTTGATAAATTGAATCACGTTCGGGCTAAATTAGCTCCTTAATATTATAAATACCATTGCCAAATTACAACAAAATTAGGTAAAGGATACAGGTATAAGATATTTACGATTTTTTTTTATTTTTATTTTAACACCCTGTATCTTGAGAACGAAGGATTTGTGGACCCATGTTTATATGAACATTTCGTCTGTTTTTGACTGATTCTGATTGGCGAAGACTCTACCGGTGAGAAAGTTATCAAAGTGCTCGAAAAGGTGGTAGTCGGTTGGCGAGAGGTCTGGGGAAGCAGCACTTCTGCGCTCAATTCGTTTAATTTTTGGACGATGATATGTGAAACGTGCGAATGGGCGTTGTCCTCACAAGGTGCTGTGATGGTTAGGCCCAGCCGCTGACCACCATACATATACCATGGGCTTTTTTGGTGGGTTTTCACCTTTGGGAAGTGCCTGGGTGACTCATCGATATCCAGCCACTTCCTTGAACGTCTCTTGTTGTCATAAATGATCCACTTTACATTACACGTGACAATCCGATCCAAAAAAGATCGTTTTGATTGTGCACACGCAAAGAAGGACAGACCTTGAAACGTGACAATTTCAGTTGATTGTTCAAATCCTGGAGTATCACGTTTTAAACTATCAAAAAACGCATAGGAGCTGACGCCCAGTTCTCAGTCTCCACCAGGGTCCTCAAATCCTTGTCATGGATTACTGTAGGTCTCAGAAGACTAAAATGGTCCTTTTCACCAGGAAAAGAAGTTTATCGGGCTTACAACCTCCCGAAATCTTCAAAAGCGAACTGAGGTGGTGAAATATCTTGGTACTCTCCTCAACAGGAAGCTAACATGGAACTCTCACCTACAGGGTAGAGCAAAAACAGAATATGTGGCTTATGAGCAATGTTGGAGGACAGTGGGACGCGCATGGGGTCTTTTACCCCGTGTGGTCACCTGGATCTACACTGCAATAATAATAAGACCTATGTTAACGTACGGAACCATTGCATGGGGACCGAAAGTTCTACAAGCAACTTCCATTCAAAAATTATATCAAATACCGCGATTGGCTTGTTTAAACATCATAGGAGCCATGAGAACCACACCAACCGCGGCAATGGAATTAATTACTGGTCTGACCCCCTCTGGACGCCATATTCAGATTGCGCACGGCTGGTGTAAACCTCGAAGTAGAAATAGGCCAATTGAGGCCTAGCCGAAGGCGGGAAGCGCTTACTGCGCAACCTCTGCTGCAGGCAACCAGTGATGCAAATGAACCCAGGTTTGTGTTTAATAAACCCTAGAAATTCAAATAAAACAAAACACTGAGTCAGATGCTACAAATGCAATACGCATATTTATAGACGGCTCAAAAACCAAAGAAGGCTCAGGATGTGGGGTGTATTCCAGATGACTAAGCCCAAAGATTAAGTTGGGAATGGAAAAAAATACCAGCGTGGTCCAAACAGAACTGGCTGGTATCTCAATCGCCACAAAAGAAATAACCAGGAAAGGAATTTCTGGCAAAAACATAACAATCTGCATTGATAGTAGACAAGCCATATCAGCTTTGAACAGACAACGTGTTACCTCAGGGCTAGTACTAGAGTGCCACCAAGATTTAGTCAAAGCCTTGGTAGATAATATTATACTGAGGTAGGTTAAAGGGCACGACAGGAGTGAAGGTAATCGCATTGCCGACTCTTTATCCAAGGAAGCGGCTGGACTAAAAATTTTAGGACCCAGTGGCACTTACGGCCTGATGACTTCGACAATAGCGGAACTAGCCAAACGTCACACCCATGCTCAATCCCTAAAGAGATAGGATGAAATCAAAGGATGCAATCTTGCCAGGATCACCCTGGGCGACCCTGGGAAGCTGGCGCTGAAGAAATATCTGGCGACGGCCAGGAAAAATCTACGCTCAACAGTAGGATTTCTGACTGGCTACTGTCAAATAGTGAAACACCTCTATGCAGGATGTGTGAACAGAAAGATGAAACTGTCAGGCATGTCCTATGCGAATGTCTGGAGTTATCGTCAATAAGAGAGTGTGTGTTCGGCGAGTCTTGGCCTACACCTGCCGATATAAAGGAGATGTATCCCAGAGACCTGTCCACCTTCCTGGAAAGGACAGGATGGACGATGACCTAGGAGGACAACTTTTTGGGAGGATGTACAATGGGTCACATGCTGTGGGTCAAGTGCTGTGGGCCTACTCTCACCCTCCCTACTCTACAGATACTGTGGGTCAACCACTTTGGGGCTATCCTTGAGGCTAAAATCAAAGAAACGAAATTTCGCAAATCAACTTCGAACATTGCGTTTACTAACACTATCATCACCAAATAACTAGTTGAATTTTTGGGCTGTTTCGGCAGCCCACAGTAGACTAAATATTTATTGAGATATGGAGCTACAAAAACACATTTTGGTCACCGTATCTCATGTACATTAGAACCTTGAAACTATATAATTCGCATTGAAATTGAAATGGGTATATTTTTAGAAGAAATTAATTTTTGGGAAAGAATGGTTTTGGCTTTCTACTTCTCCATCGTTATATAAAAAATGTGGGAATGTTCCAAAGGAAGAAAGAAAGCAATCAATTTAAAATTTCACATTAGTTTTCAAAAATCATGAAAATTCACCGAATAAAAATTGAAATGAATATTGACAGGTTGAATATTTGAGAGTGTAAACTATCCTAATTTCTATTTACTTATCGAAAAAATTTCAACATAAAAAAGTTGGAACCTTGCAGATCATAGTTTGAAAAGTATTAATCTCCAAGACTTGCAAGGCAATTAATCTGTCAGCAGCAGCCCAAGTATGTCTTTCCGATTTTCAATATCATTTCTAATATTGAAAATTAGATGTGCCATAATATTTATTTCACAAAATGTGAAACCCAATAAGTGATAATGCATCTAATTAAATATGACTGATATAATCTAGTATCTATTTCACACTATTTCAAAAATATTCATAAAGTACTCCAGAGTAAATATAAATATTCTATCTTACCTTGTTTGTTTTACGTATTCCAGACATTTCTTCAGTGCCTTCTCGATATTTCTTGAAAGATCATCAAGAGTTACATTCGGGCAAAGCTCGTAACCAACGAATATCGACTTGATTTGATTTTCTCGCAAAACTTTTGCAATGAACGAATTGAGGTTGTGACGTATCAGTTTTTCTTGCCAGAATCCTCCATGGAAATGAATAAATACAGGAGCATCTACAACATTGCTTGAATTTATCAACAGTTTCGTATAAATTAAAACTTCAGTTTCTGATGATGAAATATTTCTGTCTACAATCTGAAATCTGAATAATATTTTCAAAGGATAAGATAAATATAAAATAGAATTTTTGGTATGAATGAATATCTCCTTTAACTGGTAAATAGTAATTTTTGACAGTCAAATCAGATAAAATCGAAATCATTTATTTTCTGAAATTATAATCAAAAACTATTAATATCTATTTTCGAATGTAAAGGATACAG